ACCTCCTGGCATGCTGTTGTTATGGCCGAAGCCAAGCCGCCTACTTGATGAGTTCTGCCTACCTGTCAGGCCGTCCGACTTAGTAGAGCCGAAGCGTCTGCATAGAGTGAAACCATCGCAGGCATTATGCAATGTTATGCATGTCCAGTTGAAGTGCGCTATAATTGAAGCTATTTAAAGCTTGTTTAATGGCAAGGACACGCCACGATCCATGCAAAGCCGACCACAAGGCTGTCCCCTTCTCGGTCCTGAGCTTGTCAGCCCGCCAATCAGTTTGATGGGCGGTGCGAATGCGAAAATCAGCAAAAACCCGACCGGGCAGCCGATTAATATCTTAAAAGCGTTTGGCGGCGCTAGATGGCGCCCTAACATATACGCCCGATCATCACACTTAAGTGAATTTCTCATCCAAATGTGACCCAGTTTCCTATCAACCATCTGCACTTCTGCGAAGTGCCTCCTGATATTGAGAACAAAACAGGGGAACGAAATCGAGATGAAGTTCGAGTTGTATCGGAGTCGAGCGAGTTGTCGCTCAAATTACACGCACACAGCTCGGCTGAAAGCTGATTACAGGCCCCGAGGCATGCAATTTGCATCAATAAAACTTGAAGCCTGGCGCGGCAACGTCTGCTGCTGTAGGTCAGTTTGTGATTCCTGTCCCTGACGCTGCCCTTAAATGCCGTTCATCTTGTTCAGCGTGGCGTTGATTTGTTGACTGCTTCTGCATTTGGCTTGGCCGTTCACTGGCTTCAATCAAGTGACGATGGTCGCAAACGAGCCAAAGGCGCGTACAGGACGGATTCCAGGCCCGGCCTAACGCACGCCCCGTACACTTTCATCTGAGCCGAGGCCGACATGTTATCCACAGCATGTCTCTTATCGGATAAGAGTCGACTATAGCGATGGCTGATGGTGTCTGGCCACTTGACCGACCAATAATTACTTTCTCCGTCTTGAGTGGGCAAAGACTGTTATTGATTTCTGATTGCCGGCATAATTTTATTATGCATCATTAAGCCGATAAAGTCTCTGCTCGTACACCAAATAACAACGCACATTTGCAGCCATTTTCAAATTGCTTATGGCCTTTAAAGAACTTTAGCTTTGGAAAAAAAATCCAATGAAACCAGAGATATTTTTCATAAACGTAAGACTTTCCAAAAATTATGTGTAAATGTGAAAGGTTCACGGCCTATCCGATGTAAGTGAAAATTTCAATCGGAAACATTTTTGGGCAGGGTTCAACTGATTTGCATGTGAAAAAAGCCGCCGGGTTTATTATTTGACCGATTAATAAATCTTCGCTAATGATTTGCAAGAAATACAAAAACAAATTGAGCTGTAAATTTAACAAAGGTCATTAGATCAGTGACTGATGCTAAAACTAAGAGCTGATTTATGTAGTTTTATGATTGTTATGAAATGTAAATGTTACACAAGATCTCGCTGGCAGATCTCGCTGTGATCTTATTAATATATGTTGCCATAAGTCGCCTCATACAAACTCTTACAATGTGTAACAGCATGTGTATCTTAATCTCATCAAGGCTTATAGTTGCCCTCTTTTGGCCAAGGGCCCTTATTTATAGCATATATGTGTATTATTGTGCAATTTCTTTTGTGGCAGTTGAAGTTTGCTAAATTAACTTCACTTCAGATCAAAAGCCGCCAAAAAGGCAAATCCGCAGTATCAAAAAAATAAAAAAAAATTTTGGCATACAGAAAAAACCAAAAATAATAACAGCTGCAGCTTCTCCACACCGCTCAAGTGTTATTTCTGACAGTTCAGACGTCCACTCCAAAGTGAGATCTGTCATAAAAACGACCTGTGCCGCTCTTGATTTTGATTTTGATTTTGGCGGATTTTGGATGACGGGCTGCCCGGCAGCCTGGCTGCCATTTCAAAACGCAACAGCCCAAAAATTTATGCAGATTTTAAATTAAAGCGCCTTATCAACAACAACAACAAAGCATAACCGGTTGCTCGATAGCCAATTTTGTCTGGGTCTCAGTCTCAGTTTCAGTTGATGGGTTTTCTTTTCATTTTTTGTGATTTTATTTTGGAGTGGCACTTCCTTAATTGGAGCAGGCACTGCAACAAGTGCAGCGCTAATTCATTATATTATTTAATAAATATAATTAACGAATAATAAGAAAACAAAACGAAACGCTAAAAAAAAAAAAAAAAATGCTGCGATCACTACTCATTTGTTGCCAACATTAAAATTACTTAATAATTTCCATCAAAACTAATTAATTTCAATATTTTTCAACCAAGCATAAGCTGCCCCAAGGTGCTCTCCAGACGAGAGACGATGGGACACGCCAACAGCAAAGAGAACGGGAGCACCATCGGCATCAGCGCGTTAAGCATATTGTGTTGCACTTAACCCTTTTTGCCGACTTTGTACTTTAAAGATTGTTGTTGCAACATAAAAATACTTATTACGTGCAGCAGAACATGCAGCAAGCCCAAAGGCGTTTTGCAATTTTTATATACATAATTATTCATGTAGTTATGTGCTATGTCGTAAATATATAGTCAGGCTATTTGTCTCTTTCTCTGGCTCCCTCTCTTTCCCACTCGATCAGTTAGTGGGTTTTTGGGAGTAACTTAAATCAATTTCTGCACATAGCGGCAAATCGTCAACGGTCGAAGCCGTAGCTGAAGTTGCGACCGGGGTCTGGAATCTCTCTGCAAGTCTTTCAGTCTGCGGCCCGTTCGCTGCGCTTGAGTAATTTCATTTTTGGTGGCTTTGTCCTTACTGGCAAATGACTTGAAGCTTGGACGCGGCTTCCTGGCCATCTCTTATGGCATTTATGCTACTTATGCAGCGTTTGTGGCTGCTGCTGCTGCTGCTGTTGCAGTGCCGCTAAAATAACCGTAATTAATCAATTTGAGCAAAGTGGCAGCAGCGGGACTTGGCGTAGGGCGTACGGTCAACGGCAATGTCCGTGTAATAACAATGAAAACAGCGTGTGTTGCATGGGACACGGCCAGACGTGGCATATTGCTATACACGTACTCATACTCGTATTGCTACTCATGTATATCTGCACACCATAAATTATGTTCGCACAGGGTTAAGCGCATTATTTAAGCATTCATCACGAGCTGCGGCCCAGTCGCAGACACCGCCTTGGTCCGAAATCGTCTGGGGCCCTTGGCTGCTTCTCTCATCTGTTGCCGTGTAATAATTTTTGAAATTTATGTAAACAGTGTTGATTATGGATGAGTTATGTAGCATGTTCTACCCTTTGTTGCTGTTGCCATTTTCGCGCTGCGAGCGCAGTTAATTTTAAGCTTGTTTTGCAGGAACTCGCCTGCACTTACCCGTAAGCCCCAACCCCAGCCTCAGCCTGAGCCTGAGCTTGAGTCATCGTCCAATTGATGTCTTTATTAGGCTGCTGCCCGCAACACGGCTGCTAAATATCAAGCGGGTTACATATTTTTGCTTGGAATAATAAAATGCCAGCTAGTGAACGACGCTGACTTCGAGTCTGCAGCGGGCTCAAGCCATGAGTATGCTGACAGCTTGCATTTAAGGCGTGTTTGAAGCACTTAGCCAAGTCATGGGAAGCCAAAAGTCGCTCTCGGACCTTTGAGCATCTAAGACCCATGATATACATAAATATTTTGAATCGCCGAATTTGTATGTGGCACATTAAAACTGACACGAACAATTATTTACCATGCCACACACACACACACACACACACACACTCACTCATAAGCTTTTTTGGGGAAATATGAATTGCAGCGAGCAAAGCCATAGGTAGTGGCCAAACCATTTGGGTGGCGCTTTTGTCTTTGAAACGTGCCTTTGCTCGTGCCACATGCAGCGCGCGCTGCCTGCAACGTTTCAGCCGCCGATAATATTTTAATTTTATTTTTTCATCAGCTCAAGTCAGGCACGCTGGGCCACGTAGCCACCCGGCAGATATGGGCACGTTTAGCGGGGACAATCACTCGATAGACTGTCACATGTCCCCTGCAACTGCAACGCATGTCACCTGAGTCTCAGCTTCTGCCTCGGCTGGCAGCAGTTGCAACTAGTGGGTAGCTCGCCTAATGGCCTGCGATTTGCGCTTTTAAACATGCGCGCTGATAAGCACGACAAACATTTAACAAGTAATTAAACATACTCCCAAAGCTCAGTCCCAGTCGTTGACTCCGACTCAGCCATAGTTTCAGTCCAGTCTGGACGGACGCCGGCTCTGGCGTGGCCTGTTGGCAAATGTGGGTTAAGGACGCACAGCACTCAACGGTCGCCGCCCCTCGCCGCTGGCAGTCAATGTTCATTTTGAACATTTTGTTTTCGTTTTGGATATTTGGTGTAATAGTTGTAATAGAGTTGCTGAAATTTGGCATTGTGCACATACATATAGCTATGGCAACGGCATACAGTACACAGATGTCTGACCCACACCCACATTTCATTAGCTCCAGTCGCTGGGCGCTGTGATAAATGTGATAATAAATATTCGAGCTGTTTGTGAGTGTTATAATTTAGTGTTGATTAGTTTGCGCAAATAAGAGTTATTGATTCAATTTCAATTAAAAGGATATGAATGTTTTGCGTTAGCACCATTCCAGGTCACATCAATTCTCTCGCCTACAAATGAAAAGACTACCAACAAACCCGTTTCCGTTTTTTTTTTCTTTTTTTTTTTGGCACCTTTGCATTGATAAATCCATAGTCAGATTATTAATGATACCTAATGAGTGGGCTGGGCCGCGTCACATAGCTGCAACTGCGCACAACAATCGCCGTCTGCCAAGTGAAACCGGGCGAAGCGGCAAAATGGCAATTACGTGTCATTTATATGAGCCGCTGAACGTATAAATTGTGTAAACTAAAAGTTCAAGCATTTATTAACTTATTTTCGTAAGCAGTAAGTAATGAAATTAACTCGTAAGTTTCACGTGTCGATAGAACAGCCTCTTTGCAAGGGCAACGACAGCTGCCAGCGCTGCCGACGTGGCTGCTGGTGACTGCCGCACCACGAATTGTAGCCGGAGCTGTTAGAGTGCGTGGAAGTCGTCGAGGGATTGGGTGAGCAGTAGAACTGTACTGCCGTTAGGCGAGCTAGAAAACAATTTAAGAGCTACATATTATAGCCATTGAAAATGCAAAAGTAAGGGTCTAACTTACTTGGGAGAGAAAACAAAGTAGGCTGGTGCATAAGCGGGGCCAACAACTACAACTACTAAGAACTATCTATATATAGCAACAAATAGGAAGACAATACTTTGGACGACACAAAAGCTTATGAGGCTTGATCGGAATGATTGTTGGACAGCTGACGCATGGTGAATGTCGTCTCTGCAGTTACAAAGGACAAAGCATTAAAATAGCCACAGCTTAATATAAGATTTCATACCTGGTGTGCGGAAGCCCTCCTGTATCTTGTAGATTTCGTTCAGCTCCCGGGCGCTGCAGAGTGGCGTGTCCACCTGAGTGGTCTCATTGAAGCGAGCATAGTCGATCTCATATGCTTGCAAATCCTTGTTGTACAGAACCACAGGATCGAATCGGTGGCCCCACAAAATCTCCGTATTGATATAGCTCGATCTGGCCTGCGTGGACTGGCCCGTGGACTCGACAGTGCCCTCCAGAATCACAACAATTTCGAACTTGTCCTGCAACATATCGGTGGCATTCATGTTGTACAGCGGCGAGTTCTCGTCTATTCGGTGCTCAATCACCATGGGCCAGATGAAAAAGAGATCGGAGCCCGACTCGTCGGTGCCTATCTGCAGCTCTGTAAAATGTTGTGTCATGACTTCACCCTCCTTTGTACTGCGCGTCCTTATAAGCTGGGCTCGCACTCCAGCTCCAATGATGTGGGACTTCCGCATATCGCCTACGCGGAACATTAACGAGAGGCAACCATCGCGCTGGCAGACCACCGCATGCTTGGAGAAGAGTAGAGTCTGGGCGCGTTGCTTGGCACGTGTCATTTTGGCGAAAACGATGCCAGCCATGAACGCCGATGACATCACACCATAAATGGACTGAAAACACATCATAAATATTGCCTCGGGACACTCCGGTGAGGTGGTGCGCACGCCGTAGCCAATGGTGTGCTGCGTCTCGATGGAGAACAAAAAACAGGATGTGAAGCCGTCAATGGCTGATACGCATGGCGCCCAACCGGAGTCCTCTAAAGCATTAAATCCATCAGCTGATCAGCTTCGTTTATATGACATGTTCACTTACCCTGATTATGCGGAAGATGCAACTCTTCTAGATCGCCGTGTGTAAACATAATAAGCCACCATATCAGTGCAAAAAACAGCCAGGACAATATGAAGCTCAATGCAAAGGCCAGTAGTGTCCAGCGCCATTGCCAGTCCACCATTGTTGTGTACATATCCTGCAGGAAACGCACCCTCCTGCGCTGCAAATGCTTTTGCACCACATTGCAATCCCCATTCTTGAATACGGCGCGACGACGCACACGTCGCATGCTGCCTGGACGAAAGTTGCGAGATCTGTAGAATATAACCAAACCATATGGAAATAAAGAATGATGAATCTGCGAATGTATACGAATTTAAAGTGAGCCTGAAAATATGTTACATTTTGCCATGACAATAAGAAATTGGATACCAAAGAGGGTTGCCATTCAGGAGCAAAAGCTAGTCAATCAAAAGTGGCTGTCAAAAATGTCCTATTCCAATCTGGGGCATTAGGTCCTGCTATTAATATAAATATACATCATATATATTATCTATTTACGATTAGATTCGAGGCCAGTTACACTTCAATGTCATTTAGTCTGTCTGCGTTTAAATTGCCTGACGAGACTTGCACCAGTTACCCCAGTAGCCCGCTGTGCATGGCTAATTGTCTAAATTGAGTGCGCACATTTAAGCAACTAACTATTTGCCAGCTTTTGGATATGGAAATGAAGTGCATCTAATTAATAGCGCACTTAATTTGCCAATGTCAACGGCAAGAAACTGAACTGGATCTTTTAGATCCAATATGAATACTAGATATTGCATTTTGTATTTCATTAAATCAATCGCAGTTAATAATTGCATCAAATTGTCGCTACTAGATTTAAAAGTATCTCCCACATGACTACATCCCACATGCAGCTTTGTGCAATACACAGTTACAATTAAGTAAACTTGAACCCCATTGGCACTTGGAGCTCGGGCGATTAATTGACATTGTGCTGGTTCCATAAATAACGACTAATCGAATTTAACGCACAACCCTCTTAAACTATGTGCGGCATGTGGGGGAACGAGAGCAAAGTGTGGCAGCGCTATCAAATGATTCATTTTGCTTTGTAGAAAAGCCGCACTCACTTAATTATTAATTAGTTTCATTACCCTGAAAACAATGTTGCCGCCAACGCAGCCAAAGATGCCTCAACCCCCCGCCTTTTGTTCAGGTCCATCCAGTGGAGCAATCGTCTGCGGAAATGATTTCATAACGGCTCACCTCTGGGAAAATTGTGAGCACAATTGATTGATAAATAGTGAATCGGATAGAGATGGGCCAATAACTTAAATCAAATCGTTTAACGGGTGCGAAACAGATCTTTTGAAAATCTGTCTAATTTATACGGCGTTTCACTTTGACAGGTGAATAATGGGCCATTGGGGCAAAATTTGAATGGATAGTCTAATGAGGCGGCGACTTCTGCTTTCCACTGTCCGCTCTCCCCTAAACTGTGTGTAGAAAGACATTTAGGAAATATCTTGACTAGATAATGCTAGTAACTCATGTAAAAATGACCACGTGGGCGTCTGTATAAATTACAACCGCAAACAGCACACGGTGCACTTAAACCAAATAAGCTTCGCACTTCACATCAGCAAAACAAATCGTAATGTAAAACTTGTGTATCTGTTAGATACATTCACACACACACACGTTCGGGGCTGCTGGCCCCTCTATATGAGCGACCGCGTGCAAGCTGCAAGTTCAAGTTGAATGTCAAGCGCTTGGGCCTCATACAATTTACATAGATAAAATAAAGTGATATACCCCTTAGCTAGCGAGTGACTGGATCCTTTGAGCGCCTCATAGTATACGCCCGCCTGTGATGGCGTGTGTGAGATGCCTCTCATATACTGGCGTTTCCACTCTTTCATATGCGCAAAAGTTTCATCCTTTTCGCCGGCGACGGTCTCTGCATCGGCAGCATCCTGTAGCACCTGCACATCTGATAAAGGTACCTGCATATTAGCTATCGGGACACGTTTCGTGTCAGTGCGCGCACAAAACTTGACTAAAGTTGGGGCTATCTCAACTGATCCCAAGCCAACATGAGCACCAGAGCTGACTTTGTTTGGCAAAGGAATTAGAGCATCACTAACTAATCAATATCTGTTGACTTTGCTAGTTAGACACCTGACAAAACGAGTGCAAACAGAGCCCTAATGGCTTGCCACACACACGCCCCCTTTGCTAAGCATTTACTCCCGCTGCTGACTTACCTGCAACTGGGCTGTCGCTGAAAAGACTTGCCGTTTGTGGAGAGGCCATAGAAGCTGGCTGGACGATTCGGAACTATCGTTATGGGGTACGACTGCGGATTGCTGATCACGCTGTCCAGGGAATCGGGATCCTCTTCGATTGTCATTGGTCTCTTGAGAGGCTTTGTTGCCTTTTCATCAGACCTCTCAGTCGCTGTGTCCGCCGCCGTTGCAGCTGTGGTTGTCGTCGCTGCCGAATGGCTCGAAAAATTAAAACGCATCTGGGAAAGACAGATGACAGGTCCGTTTAATATGGCATTATGGGTACTCGTGTATCAAAACTGTTTTCGCGTTGACTCGCTGTCAGGCCTTGTCAGCCACTTTTGTTGCCTTAAGTGCGCAAACAGATACTTGCGATGGCAGCGAATCGAGGTGCGAAAAATGTATCACATATAACTAGATTTATATTCGTAAACAAAAGATGAGCACATGAACGCGAGCAAAACAACAAAACTGTTATCAATTGCAATGACTGCCCAGGCCCGATATTATTTATTGTTCTGAGCGCATATGAGTAAATGAATATACGTACTTATTTAAATAAAGTGCAACACAAACAATCGTAACATTTGCATAACTTGTTTTATTAATTTGTCACTCTTGTATCACAAAGTTTGCTTTTTGGTGATGCGCACACTTTTTGCACAAAAAAATATTTAAATCGTTTCTATATACATATATATAAGTATATATATATCGTTTCTGGACGCTTCCAGTTTTTAGTTTTCATTAGAGACCGCCCATATTTTATTATTAGGCACTTAAGAATGTAACGTCCGCTAAAAATATATTAAATATCTGCTGCACAAACACACCTTTTAGCGATTATTGGCTCTTATGAGATTAAAGACTTTTAGCACCTTATTAGGAGCGCACAAGTTTCAATGAATTGACACCTTTAAAACGAGCATTACGCTTTTTTTCCTTTTGTTATGCAAACAAAGTTTAGCACATCTTTAGTAATTTAGTCACTTTTGATTTGGTATGTACAATGTATTCGAAACGCACGCCGCTAAAATTGTGAATTGTTTTGTGAACGCACGCCGAACCAGAAATGAACAGATAGATCGCCGGTCAACTGCACACAGAAAAAACACACACAGAAGCCGAAGCTGAAACTATCCACGGAAATCCAAAGCGACACTGCGATGACAACCCCACAGAAGCTATTTCGTAAGTCAGACCAACGGATTAAATGACGGCTGACTGACGCCGGCTGCGACTGCGATTGTGACTGTGACAGCAAGAAAATATCAAACTAAACACAAGTTGTGAACAAAAGGCGGCCCGCTGTAAATGAGCTCCGTTACGCACACACTTACAGTGACGGCTCCCACTTAGACTGCAGATTGATGCTCTCACAGATACAAATGCCAAAACAGATACGCACACAGGCAGATAAAATTGTCGCGTTGATACGAGAAAAGTTCAATTGAAAAGATTCTTAAATTGAAAATGAGGCGGAAGATAAGTGCGATAAGTTCTGCTTATCTATATTTGATGATTCCATGGACAAAAGAAATTAAAAAAGTCGCTACTTTTAGCGGACACGACCTTGCCTCTCAATGTTTTATCACAAGGGAAGCGTATACGTAATATTTAGTAAGCGATTTCTCACTGCGGGGACATGCACACAGCTGATTTAAATATATTCATGAATCTGAATGTTTCACAACAGATAACAGAATACACAAGCGATCCATTACACGTTGTTTGATTCTGGATCATGAGGCGTGTACGTAATATTTTAATATTTACGCGTCGCTGATTGCACAAGGCTCACGCGCCTGTTTGCTGCAGTCTACAAGCGAAGAGTGATATTCTAGCTCGCTATTGCCTTCGTGTCGCATAAATCTCTCAGATGGGCTCTATTTGATGGCGGAAGCTGGCGAATGACGACCCAGTGAAACGGCTAAAAGTCACGCATCATAAATTTATTACATTTTTTTCCAATTAGTTTGAGGCGTGTAGATAATAATTTAAAGTCAGTAAGTGAATTAAATTATTTGACAGCATCTAAACTTATAAAGAATCACCCCGGCTATCCAGTAGGAACGGATGTTGGCACACCTCAATAGCTGACAATCGATGTTGCGGCATCTTAACCAAAAGCGAGTTTATGAGCTGTTGTGCGTATGGACTCATTTTGCTCTTACACTCAGAGGGTATTTCATGGTGGCTCTTCCGAATGCATTCCTGAACAATGTTCGTATTGCTCTCACTATGAGCGAAAGGCAGCCGACTGCACAACATATAGAAGAGCGTGATGCCCAACGACCACAAGTCCACGGAGAAGTCGTATCCAGCATAGCTAATCAGCTCGGGAGCCATATAGTGGGGCGTGCCGCAACACTGATAAAGTTCGCGGCCCTTGTATTGAGTGGCCAATCCAAAGTCGGAGATCTTAATCGCAGCCACCCAAGGCTCTAATGGACCCGAGAAATCGAATTGTACCAACAGATTGTCTAGCTTCAAATCGCGATGGATTATCTGACACCCATGAATGTACGCAAGTCCTCTGGTCACGTCTTTCATGACTTTTTTGACCAGAGTCTCGGGGAAAACAGTTTTACTCTGCAACAGCTCAAATAGATCACAATCGAGTCGCTCGATAACAATGTAAATGTACTTGCACTGCTCCACCGTGTATATTAAATCTATGATGTTTGTGTGGTCCTGCAGTTGTCGCAAGATTTCTATCTCAAAGTATGTTCCGTTTGTTCGCGTAAACATGTGTTCTTTGTTCACCATTTTAATTATATAATGCTTGTCGCTTCGGGCTCTGCCGCTGCCCTGGAATATTACCGTCGACTTGTGGACCCAGATCGGCTTCTCCACGTTTATGTATAATAATATGGCTTGCGGCAGCTTGCAGTTCTCATAATCAATGACAAGTTCGTTGTCATTGAAGCATTCATTATCTGCTTCTTCCTCGCTTCCCTCAACCGGCGCACACTTCTCACGCATTCGAATGAGTGAGCCCAGAAGTTGCATGTAGTGCTGGTTAACATTGTAGCCCACATCAACGTAAGGCTCATACTGACAACAGCAGACCACAATGTCGCCCTCATAGAAGTCATCTATGGAATGAAGGGGCGTGCCGTTGATTCGATAAACACGCGTTATCGCCGACTTTAGGACCACATGAGGGCGAAATGCCACAGTGATTGCCTCTAGCAACGCTTTAAATTCTTGGTAGCGTTTTTTTGACACGGCTAGGGAAATGCCGCCAAAATGTTGATCCATGTTGCGTAGAAAGCAAGCACGCAGAGCTTTACCCGGAAGACGATGAGCCAGTGGGCAGAGGCTGTCGGTATGTTGTCGCTGAAGTGCAGCGGTGTTCTTTATGTTCTGTATAGATGTGGTACGTTTCATTGTGGAGCGGTTATATTTCTTACAAAATATATGGAAGTATTTGGTGTTGTTGAACGGAGTAAGTATGTTAGTATATATGTAAATACATATATTTGTGAGTATGATGTTACTAGTCTGAACTTTCAGTAAGCCTACATAATTCTACTGAAACTCGACCCAGTGCCTGGTATCTATACAGTAATTCAGACTCAATATTCTTCCGTAATCCAAAGGATAGGCACTGGGGGAGGGGTGCTTGAATTATGACAACGACCACATAAATTATGTCACCCTAAATTGTGAATGGCAGTAGTCACCGACACTGATGAAGAGCACCCAAGCAGCTGTGAAAATTGAATAATCAGCTTAGTTACGCGACGCGACTGTGAGCGGCCACAAGTTATGCACGGGCACAGTGCGCGCGCACACACACACACCCCACTTCTCTGATCTGCCGATGCTGGGTCACGCGTTGCAAGTTAGTATATGTCTGGCTGTATATATATATATATATATATAGATGTGTGTGTGTGTGTGAATTCTCGATAAGTGCAAATTTGTAGGCAATCATTGGACACACTGTTATCTTGACACTTTGAAGGGGGGGTGATAATTTGTTATTTGATGCTTTCAATGACGCCTATTTGCATTTATTTGTAAACTACAGACAGCCAAGTTCTATTTGATTTTGTAATTTTCATATTTTTGAGTCTTGCATATTATTGTTAATAATTATGTTAATAGTTTATGCAATTGCATCGATTTAATGCAGGAAACTATCACAGGGGATAATCTTTATAAGCCGCCTAAAAATCTGCTGAAGTATACGTGTTTTATTTAAGTGCCCTTTGTTGCGGCTGCTTAAATAGCAAAATCAGTCCAAAAGTATGCAATGCTTTAGACTTGCTGAAGTATTGCTTTTATAAAATGGTATAACATACTTTTATAATTTTTTATAATTATTTACCCACCAATATGAATTGAATTCCAATTTGTTTAAAGATATTGTGATTTATTTTACAAAAGATATACAAAACGTATTTCAGATTGTTTCCGAATACAACTTCACAGATTGATGGGCATTGATGTGCCCAGCATTTAGAATTGACATTGAATAACTTTAAACTTTGACTATTTACACCTGATATTGCATATGAAGTAAGGAAAAGTTTGTTGGCTTTGGGTATGCTATATGTAGAATGCTTAAGCTACGTGTCTGTGTGTTCTGTGGGTATTAAAATTGATATGGACATGGGCATGTGGGGGGGTGTATGCTTGTGTAATAGTGTGTAAATGCTGCAACACTTATATACAAACTAACTGCTAAAAATATTATATGTATCTCTACTGACTACTACTACAATCTACGATAATTTTACAATGAAATTTGCATTAAATATTTTTTCTGCTCACTCTTTCACAAAATGGCAAAATGCTTACAAAATGTGTATATGTGTATGTAAGTGTGTGGGTGTGGTTGGGTGAGCAATGCGCTTGGTGATGCCTATATTTATATAAATGTGGCTCTGGGCCTGGAGCATTACATAGCCGCACCATTGTAATGTTGATACATTTCATCCCAGAATCGCTGTCGCTCCGGCTCGGGATTCGTTTTCATATTGAGTTCGTGCGAAATATCCAAATAGTTGAGACTATTCATAACGTTTGTGGCATCGATAGGTGCCCATTTGGCCGTCAGGATAGGGTCCTCAAAATTGGGCGTGGGCGTTCTGAAATCAAAGCATGATATAGTTTACTCTATTAACTTAAAAGCTTTAAAGTTATTACCCATATTTGGCAAAGTTCGTCCACATTCGCACCATGCGGTTCTTGACTTGCACTTCCATGGACTTCGGATCCAGACTTAAGTTGAAGAATCCAAACTTGAACAGGTAGCCCATCTCATCGCCGTGGCAAACACCCGGCCTGGGAATGCCCAGCATGCGCTTGTACAGACCTAGAGCTCCATCGAAGGAGAAACGATACATGTAGACAGGAGCATTACCATACTTGGCATGGTTGCGAGCAGTGCGACGGATACCTTGCAGGAACATGAGATCTGTTAAGAGCTAGAGCCAAAGCAAGCTATTGGTATGACCATAGATAAATAGATTCCTTGTACATACTGCTATCATTTCATCCACAGACTCGAGACCAACATGCTTGTTGCCCAGATAAAAGGAGCGTATCTCACGGGTTACTCTATCATGGGATTGGGTTACATTCAGATCCTGTGGCACGAGCCGCCCAAAGTCATTCTCAATGATATTTAAGAGCTGCGGATTCTTGCGCAATCCTAAAATTAACGTGTATATTTATCAGTTAAAGTAATCGCTTCGAATCACGATCTTCCTATACTCACTTCTTATAAAAAGCATAGCTTCATGTGTGTTATAGCCCGTCATATAGGGCACCTCGCTGTTGAAATTGTGCGCCTGGTACATGTCGCTGGGATGTTCAGTGAGAAAGGGCTGTTCAAGGTACAACTCTTCTTGTGAATCCTGATTCCAATATCCCTCCACCACGGGCACAAACGGCAGCCCAATGTTGTTGCGCTGATCCTCCGCCGTTAGAGTCGTTGGCGCTGCCTCGACCAGCTTCATGGCGGGTACTCTGCGCAGAAAGTCCAAAATCTCCTCGGTATTGTTGGCACCCACATAACCGAGATTGGCCGCTAGCCGTGCCGCTCTCTGTCCTGAGCTGGCTGCCATTGACCAGGGATTCAGCGCAGAGCCGCTCTGCGAGATGGCGCGTTGAAAGAGACCCTTGGCCAGTGGCGAGAGGAGCAACAGCTGCACTGAAGATGCCCCAGCGGACTCACCAAAGATTGTCACCTGCTCTGGGTCACCGCCAAAAGCGGCTATGTTATCGCGCACCCATTGCAGTGCCAATACCTGATCCTTTAGTCCCTGATTCCCAGGCGCATCGGGCCCAGCCGTCAAGAAGCCCAAGGGACCCAGTCTGTAGTTTAATGTAACCAGAACAATATCCTCGGCAACCAAATAGTCAGGCCCGTAAAGAAACGAGTTTCCGGAGCCAAATGAGAAGCCGCCGCCATGCAACCACACCATCACTGGCAGCTTTGGCTGCGCCCTGCAAGAGAAAAATATAACATTTGAGATTCATTTTGCTATACAAGTCTTTGATAGATGCTTACTCATCCTCCTTGGGCATTCGCGTGGTGAACACATTCAGAAAAAGGCAATCTTCATCGCCCTTAAAGGTGTCCAGTATCATGTTCTTGTGCGGACAGCTTTGACCCTCTCTCGAGGCATCTCTTACACCACTCCACGGCTTCTCCGGCAGTGCAGAGCGGAATCTACACGGGCATAATATAGTTTAGGGTTCATTCATTATTTAACTGGACTCACCTTCTAGCGCCAATTGGTGCCGCACCATATCGCATGCCCTTGAAACTGTAGTAGCCCCCTCTCTCGCCCGAGCGATACTTCTGATAGCGACCGCGCACCTGTCCCAACGTCGTGCTGGCTACGATTTCGCGTTCCTTCTACAAATGTAAATAAATCTTAAGCCTTTGAGCAACAGTTCAAGCGTGCGAACTTCTCTAGTATACACAAATAATGTATAGGCTAAAAAAAATCAATTTTGAATGGCAACTCAAAAGCTTCTACATTCTTGCACCATGCAAGGTTGCCGGCGCGTGAAAATGCCAAGTATCTGTGAGATACTTAGTCTGCATGTTATTCTTACACAAGTTCTACAAGAATTTCGCATTCATTTTGGACAGCGCTGGCGTTCGCAACTAGGCCATGGTGCAAATGTTGCGCAATCGTCTAATAGCCGAAAAGCCAGTTCTTGCCAGAATTAAGTAATTGAATTTGTGTGGCGCCCAAGCAGCAGCTGCTGGTGGCAAACAGCTCTTTCTTTGTTCTTGACGCCATTTGTACAACTACCAACGACGACTTAGACTTGACCTCAGCTACCTCAAACAGCAGCTGTGCGCTAGCCAAACATGGCCATCGGGGAATTGATTGTTGGTTTTTGATGTTCAAGTTGATGCTTGAATTGGCTAACACGGACAATCAGTAAGTCAGTCTCACTGATTTATTTGGCATTTAAGCGTCAAGGTCGTCGAGTTGCCATCTGTGACTTTGTATTCTGCTTACCCGTAGTGATCGCACCACCTCCTGCACCACCCGCATTGCGCGGGACGGCAGCAATTGCACCAGCGAATTCGGATGCGAGGTCAGCGTTTTCCAGGCCGTCGTCTCCTGCAATTACAAAGGTCGCTCGGAATTTTTAATTGAATTAACTGCAATTTGCAAGCAAGCCAACGCGCCTTGTGCAAACACAACGCTCAAGTTCACTGCGACTGTTGCATTAATGTTGACAATTTTTCTGTGAGTGTGTTATTTTTATTATTTTGTATGGGCTGCCCATTTTTAATGATGTTAACGGGCAACCTTGCGGTCAAGCAAATTTCGTTTAATTGAAACGCCATTTGCATAATACCAAACAACAACAAAATAGAAGAAAAAAGAAAAAGAGAAGCCCTGCCAGAGGCAGCAACAGTCACAACAGTTAAGTGGCAACAACAATGGCAACAGTCACGTGCAGCGAACGCTTAATAAATAGTTAAATGTAGTTGAATATATGTGCATATGTTTGTATGTGTACACGCATTTGGAGAGCTGTCCGTCAGCTGTCGCATTAGCCGGCATGTGTCCCCAGCTGAAATGTATCTGTATCTTACAGTGAATCATGACACAATTGGAGCAAATGCACAACTCAGGATAGTTTCAAGTTCACATCTTTTGAGTTACGATATTATGCTAATTTATTTTTCTTTATATTTTGTATGTCTTTGGGCTGGTCTACAGACTTGACCCGCTATGTGTGTGGGTCGCTTTAAGCCATTGGCACGCAAATGTGTCTGCAGCTCTATCTGTGCTATAATATTAATATAAATGTGGGTGTTGCCGGTCATAAAACCGTTTCGATTGAGCTTTATTTAAATTGATTTTGTATGGCTTTGGCTTTGGCTTAATTTGGTTGTGCGG